TACACACATACACACACACACACACTCACACACATACACACACACTCACACACATACACACATACACACACTCACACACACACTCACACACATACACACACATACACACACATACACTCACACATACACACACACTCACACACATACACACACACTCACACACACTCACACACATACACACACACTCACACACATACACACACATTCACACACACTCACACACATACACACTCACACACACTCACACACATACACACATACACACTCACACACACACTCACACACACTCACACACACACACTACACACCATACCACCACACACATACACCACACTCACACACACACACACTCACACACACTCACACACATACACACACTCACATACACACACTCACACATACACACACTCACACACACACACACATACATACACACACCACACACACACATACACACACTCACACATACACACACACACACATACACATATACACACATACCACACATACACACACACACACACACACACTCACACACATACACACACATACACACACATACACACACTCACACATACACACACTCACACACATACACACACATACACTCACACATACACACACTCACACACACACACACACACACTCACACACACTCACATACACACACACCGGCTCCCTCAATCCGGGGCCCCTGGGAGGGCATGGGGAGTGGTTTTCTTTTCGGGACGCTCTGCGATCAGTGCCTCCGCCTGTGCAGAGGGCACAGCAGGCAGAGAGAGCTGCAGAATCAGGTTCCAAAAAGCAAAAAGAATCCCATGGTCTGGGAGCCGCTCTGGGAGACTGGCTTCCCAGGCTCACACCGGCTCTGGGAGCCGCAGCCTCAGCCCTGAGAAATTCAAGGATGTGATGGCAACAATGCTGCTGCCTGCAAACACCAACACGGGCAGCCTCCTTCCCTCCCCTCCCCTCCTCTCCCCTCCCCTCCCTTCCCCTTCCCCTCCGCTCCCTTCCCCTCCCCTTTCCTCCCTCCCCTCCTTTCCCCTTCCCCTTCCCCTTTCCTGCCTTCCCTCCTCTCCCCCCCTCTCGCCCCCCTCCCCCCTCCCCTTTCCCCTCGCCCCCCCTCCTTTCCCCGCGCGTCCCCTCCCACCCCTCTCCTTTCCTTTCCTCCCCTCTTCCCTCCCCTTTCCCCTCGCCCCTCCGCTTTCCTCCCTCCCCTCCCCTCCCCTCCCCTCCCCTCCCCTGGCCTGTGAACCAGGCCCTGTCTGCACCTCAGAGCCGGGAGGTGAGGAGAGATCCCCATCAGGCAGGGACAGAGTGAGCTGTGAAGTTTATGTTTGCGGCGCCAGGCTGCACAGCCATTCGGTGGCCGGCTCTCTTATCAAGAAAACAACAATCAGGAGGGATCAGTAAACAGAGGGGCCGCCAGTGCCCAGGAGCTCACTGCGTGCTGGTTTAAAAACAGCCACTCCCACGGGGCCAGCGAGCAGTTTTTATTCCCAACGCGCTAAAGAGGAGCATTCAAGACGCGGGCACTTTCAGAAGGAACGCTTTTTAAAGGAAAGGCACAGAAATTCCCCTCTTCCCACCCCCCCATGTGCCCCCAGAGAAAACCTGACTTGCCTCGTTGACTGCTGACGAGCAGAGGAAGGATACGTAGTGGAACTCCAGCATAATTCGGGTTGGAACTCTCCAGTACAGAAGCTGGCTCCAGGAACTTACAAACACCAAAAGTCAGTCCTTTCTGCTCAGTTCACTTACAGGAGGGGAGGTTAGACCCTGGCCGGCCGGGTTCCCACCCAAGGTAGCTTTCCTGGGGGTTTGGAGGGAGTTTTAACTCCCCGCACCTTGAAAGAAAGAAAGGGGGTGGGGGAGAGAGAGAGAGGAGGAGGAGGAGGAGGAGGAGGAGGAGGAGGAGGAGGAGGAGGAGGAGGAGGAGGAGGAGGAGGAGGAGGAGGAGGAGGAGGAGAAGCAGGAGAAGAAGAAGGAGAAGCAGGAGAAGAAGAAGAAGAAGAAGAAGAAGAAGAAGAAGAAGAAAGGAAGGAAGGAAGAAAGAAAGAAAGAAGGGGGGGGGCAGGGAGGGAGGGAGAGAGAGAGAGAGAGAGAGAGAGAGAGAGAGAGAGAGAGAAGAAGAAGAAGAAGAAGAAGAAGAAGAAGAAAGAGAAAGAAAGAAAGAAAGAGAAAGAAAAAAAGAAAGAAAGAAAGAAAAAAAGAAAGAAAGAAAGAAAAAAGAAAGAAAGAAAGAAAGAAAGAAAGAAAGAAAGAAAGAAAGAAAGAAAGGGAGAAAGAGAGAAAGAGAAAGAGAAAGGGAGAGAAAGGAAGAAAGAGGAAAAGGCTAAGTAAGTCCACTTGGGATTTACAGGACACTTCGATGGGAATGATTGACCTTATGACTTAAATTTCCAGGTGCTGGGGAAATGCAAAGAACTCCTTGGAGCCTTCGAAGCACATGTCCTTCTGGCTGGCCGGGCTGGGCCAGGAAAGGGGACCTTCCAATCCATCCGCTAACCGCCCCCCCAGCACCCAGAGGCAGAGTGGCACCCAGTCACCTTTCAATATGGAACCCCATAAAAGCTGTGAAGTGGGGAAGTGGTACACCCCACACATGGGATCCCCAATGACTGAGTGTTAATTCCATGGAGAAAGGTATGGTCAGGCATGTCCTTCCAGCTGGGAAGGGATTTTTTTTTCATGGTAAGAAAAGCCAGGTCCGAGTGATGCCAAGGAAAGACAGACAGCCGACTGAAACAGGAGGTGACTGCTCCGAAACAATGGGGGGCAGTCCTGTGGGTGAGGGTGCGGGTGTCCCTGCAGATCCCCCTCGGAGGGGAGCATCCTGGCCAGCTGGGGCCAGTGCATCCCCGTGTAGCTGGCAGCAGCCGGAGAGCATGAGTCAAGGTGTCCAGAGGGAGGATGCAGCGTCCTCAGGGGAGGGAGGACCAGGGAAGCGCCAGCAGGAGGGATTCCAGGAGAAGAGCGGGTCCTGAGGTGTGCAGGGGGGAGGGAGTATACCCAGGGGGGTGTGCAAAGGAGGAGCCATCTCAGCTGCATGTGCGAGGAGCAGAGACGGGAGCGCACCTTCCGTGTGAATAATACAGGAACCGTCCGCCCCTTCTCCGCCATCGGGCAGCAAACGCCTTAAATCCAGCAAGCGAATCCAAGCCATTCACCGCCTCCCAAATGACTGCCCTTCAGTTCAAGCTGAGGGCTGCAGGACACACGGACATCTATATCTGTAACCCACCCCCACCCCAACCCCGTCCTAATCTTAGAATAAAAGCCGGGATGATGAGGCATGGCCAAGATGTGTGCCTCACACCGGGGTCCTCCCATGGCATTCAAACCCTAAAGTTTTTGCTATTTTGTGTGTTTGTTTTCCCCCCATCTCCATGGTCACCATCGTCTAGCAGAGGCTAAGGTGGGGGGCGGGGAGGGGGGCTTAAGGACTAGGACCCCCCTGACCAGCAATGGCACAGTCAGTGACATGGTGACACCGGCAGGCATGCACACTGGGCCTTCCGCCCTTCCCGTTCGTTATCCATCTGTCCCAGGTGTGATGGCGGGGAAAACGGAAAAGGCAGACCCACAGAGATGATAGAGGTGGTGAGCAGGAAGCCAACAGGCAGGTCCCCTGCCAGAAGCAGGCCGGGGAGAACAGAAAGGACAAATAAGAAAGGAAAGGGGTGGGGGGGGAGTAGAGCGAGCTTTCCCCAGAGAAGATCCATGTGAGATAAGATACAACTCCTGTTTTTCTGAACGACTGTAAGCACCATTACCCCGGCCAAATTATTGCCCCTCCGTCAAGAATTAGAGGCCACAAAGAGAGCCAGGGGCCGTCCCAGGCGCTGCCGCATTGTCAATGCAAAGTTTGTTTTCTCTCGGCCCCACGTGGGCCTGTAATTAACCCTTCCGCAGGCCCAGCCAAACAAAAGCCTAATTGAGCCCGTTTCCCTGACTCCCGAAGGCTTGGGAAGGGGCACAGCACAGCGATCTGAGAGCTGGGATCCCCCCCCTCTGCTCCCCCGCTCGCCTCCGCCCTGCTCCCTGGCAGGGGTCCCGGGGCACCAGGCAGACTCGGGATCAGGGTTCCCCAGATTTCGTAGGTGTTCCGAATTACCGGTTGTCAGATACTTAAATCACAACAGGACGCTCCCGAGTGCAAATGAATCCAGCTTCTAAAGAGCCAAAGTGTCATGGGGGAGGGGCACAAGGTGGAGCCCCAAACCCTACAGTAAGGCCCGAAGGGGAGGAAGCGGGTTGTGGATGGGGCCGCTGCCCTGTTGGGGCGCTGGCTCTCCCATGGGGGCTGCTGCTCAGGGCAGGGCGGGGGGGATACTTGTGAGAGAGAAAGGGGAGTCCTTGGGCCCCCATCCCCGAAAATGCGGTTCCCCATGGCCTCCTCTGTGCTCCGGGACCCAGCCAGCCACCCCTCCAAGGTCCTGGGAACTGGCACTGCGGGAGAAGTGGGGGGTGGGCTGGGGGGACCGGGTGGGGGAAGGTGAGGACACACACAGGCTGACAGATCTGGAAACATCCCCACCCCCCACTGCTCCTCCTGATCAACACCGGCTTCTCCAGGGCTGCCCCGCTGGGAAGGAGTGGTCAGGCCTCCCGGGCTACAGAACACGAAGAAAGCCCCTCTGAGAGCAAGAGCTCATCCTTGAACTAGGGGTCCCTTCCACAGGCCCACGCAGGAGACGGGGTGAAAACAAGCACGTAGTCTAAGAAAATAAAGCTGGGCCCTCCTCTACTATTTGCGGTGTGGTGGAAGGGGGCAGGGCAAGAAAAGAGAGAAGGGAGGAGGTGGGGGGAGCAGGCAGGAGGACAGCACCTAATTTTCCAAAACCAGTCCGAGGGCTCAGTGGGGAGCTGCAGGCTTCAGCCCTGCCTTCCCTGCGGGGAGCCTGGGGGCCACGGGGCCACGGCGGCCACCCCCCACCCCACTGCCGGGCAGCACTGCTCCTTGTAAGCACAGAAAAGAGGGACCGGCCGTAGCGTTCATTTATTTATCTATGCCAAACGTTTATTAGTGAAATAGTCCTGCAGATAGAATCCTACATATGGCGCTTTGATTTTTCACATATTTAAGGAGAGAAAATAAAATGACAAAACACATAGGAGTCGACATATAATTCAAAGACCACGGTACACAACCTTTGTCTTCTCTTCTGTTTGTTTTTACTTCAGCAAACAAAAAATAAATGTCAAATGACATGAAAAGTGGCAAGTCTTCCGACAATAAATAATAAATTACTTTATAATTTTTTTTGCAATGCAAGAGCAAACAAAAAAAGTTTCCTTTTCCTTTTCCTCTTTATTTCCAGAGAGAGAGAGAGAGAGAGAGAGAGAGAGAGAGAGAGAGAGAGAGGGAGAGAGAGAGAAAGAGAGAGAAAAAGAGAGAGAGAGAGAGAGAGAAACAGTCATTGTAACCGATAACTATACACATCTTTGGGGGGAGAGTCCTGGACAGACAGGAGGGGCAAACACAATCCCGAGACTTGTGGCGAAATAGAGGTAACCTTGTTGCAATGCTTTATACGTCGGTTTTCAAACCTGGATTCAAAAACCTTTAAAGTCGCTTCAGACTTCTTGATAAGAGAGGATGGATCTCAAAAAAAAAAGGGGGAGGCGGGGGAGACGGGGCTGGAGGGAAAGAAAAGGGACATGCTAAGAAACCCAGGCTTTCCATGAACCCCTTGTCAAGTCACCTGGAAACCCCGCGGCCAGCGCCACCTCTGAAAGGGCCTTTCAGCCGCTCCTCCTCCAGCTCGGCCCAGCTTGGCAGGCCAGGCCGCCCAGAAACAGCACCATTCAGACGGGGCGGCCGGGAGGCCCTGCCTCTGAGGCTCTCCGAAGGGCAAGGAAATGAAAGCGCTTTTTTTTTTTTTGAGATCCTCGAATATAAATCCTCTACGTTTTAAAAACGTCTTTTTGTTGGTTTGTTTGTTTTCCCTCAGTCCTCCTAAGGTCACACTGGACAGCGCGCGTTGGGCCCGGGCGTTGCTCTGTGGTTGGTTTCCGCTCTGGTAAAATCCCATGATTGTCTTCACAGTGTTGCTACCATATTACCTTGTCATCAAACCAGGCTTCGTGCATTTCATGGAGCATTCGTTTCCTCGACTCAGTTTCCGTGGACGGGGGCGTTAAATACTTCTGGTTCGGAGTTCAACGGGATGGGCTCCCACCGGCTCCACCAGGGGCGAGAACGGTCGGTCCTCAGGCCTCGACGGGGCTGGCCACCATGCTGTTGGGGGTGTCGGGGAGCTGCGAGGACATGGAGGCCACCTCACTGCCCGTGGAGTTTGAGCCCGGGCCTCCCTCGGAGAAACTGACCTGCGCGGAGGGTGAGAGGGGAGTGAAGGCGGCCTTGGCCAGTGCAGACAAGGAGGCGCAACCTGTCTATGTGGGTGCCTGCAGGTGCCAGCGTGCAGACAGGGAGACAGACACGCACAGAGCTTTCGGGGATAGGATTCCACTTCCACAGTTAAAGCACGCCTCCCCGGAAAAAGGATTCCAGGAGAAATCCTCTCCATCTCCCGTCTTCCCAGAGCCCTGTCAGAGCGGAACCTGAATTCCCAGCATTGGGTTGCGTTTTAAATTATTTAAGGACAAATGTGTTTCTCCCTGTGCGATGGTGCCACGGCTCTGCCACGCATGCTCCAGATAAAATCACCCCGAGTTGCTGCCCGGGGAGCAGCTGAGTCTGTCTACAGGCATCAGGGCCTCTCTCCGGGAGGAGAAAATCCATCACACACACTCTTGACTCCCGGGGGGCTCCGAGGAACAGGGTGGCCTCCTCGGAGGACTGGCAGCCTGGGCGTCCTTCCTTGTTCTCTGTCTCAGCTCCCTCTCTCCCAGCCTGGCTCTTCCTTCCCAGAGGAGGCCCAGGGATTATAAATATGGGGCTCTAGAAAGTACTGTGGCTGTTGCAAAGCTCCTTCTCTGCCCAGCCCCCACCCAGGCCTCTCTACCTCTGCTCACATCCCTCACATCCGTCACCAAGGTTTCTTTTGGAAGCTGCTCTGCGTCCTCCCCCACCGGCCCCGAGATCCAGGTTTCACCCAAATAACTCCTGAGATTGCCCCGACTTTAAAATAAGGGATGGTTCCTCATTCCAGAGTCCACCTTCCTAGCCCTGCCGCTCAGCTCTCCCACTGGGAGGTCAGAGGACTCCTGGGATTTTCCCAGACCGGCTGGCTTACCCAGGGAAACCAGGCCCACTGCCTCCGTGTGGTCACAGGGGAAGACGGAGCCTCCAGGTAAAAGTGAGGGGAAGAGCGAACCTCCATCAAACTGTCATTCCGGAGGAAGGAACAGCTTTTAGGATGGATCTTATGCCATACAAGATTCTCCGGGGCTGTTTACTATTTAAGCAGGAAAAAAAACCTCCTGTGTACATATATCACAAAGGACACAGATTGAATCATCTTCTTTATCTTGACCCTGAAGCCTTTTGTAGGGGAAAGATGAATTCCTTTTCTGTTTTCTGGATGGTAAAGCACGCTAAGAGATCTTCACATTGTACCTGATGGGTAGAACTCACGTCCCTCTTGCTAAATACATGTTCGATAGTATGTCATTACATGAAGAATTTGAACTCCTAATACTTAACAATGCTTCCATCGTCTACTTAAAAATGCTGCCTTTCAGATGGGGGCCAGTCCCAGAAAGAGCTATAGTAACACTAAGTATCAGTCCTGTCTTTGAATCACTGGACGCTCTTTCTTGACCTATTTGAACCGGCACCCGCACAGACGCCGGCTGCCCACTGGTTAGGACCCTGACTATGCGCGTCCACATCGCTCACTTCGCTGTGATTGAGGCCCTGAGACACCCATTCTCCAGGAGCGGGGGCGGGAGGAGATGCACTAACGGCCGGTTCAGTGTCCAGTGCTCTCCCGTGTCCCTCCTCAGGCGGGAGCCGGGGCGGACGCTTCTGGCACCCCGGCGCCTTCCCACGCACGCCCGCCTCTCTAGCCGGCACCTGGAGGCCAATCCATCAAAGCGGGACTGACAGACAATGCAACCTGGACGCTCAGATGACGGGCTCTCCCCGAAAAGGCTCGCTGGAGGTTTGTTTTTCTTAGGAGCCTGCTCCTCCTCTTCCCCAGCCACCCTCGTCTCTGCCCAGCCCTGGTCCCGGCCCTGGGAGGCACCCGCCTCCACCCCCGCCCACCCCACCCCAGGATCTCTCATGGCGTGGGGGTCCCACCAGAGCCTCTTTGCTGGGGAGACTGGGCCCGGGGAGCCGCCACTCACCAGCTGCTGGAAGGCGGGCTGGTCTATGTCACTCTGCAAGGCGAAGTCACTCAGGACCTTCCAGGGCGGCTGGTAGCTCTGCACCTCCACCGGGTTGGCCTGCAGGCCGCCGTCGTGCCTCTCGGGACTGGCGGCCACCATGGGGGTCCCGGTCATCCCCTGGATGTTCTGTGGACGACCCCCACCCACCCCGGCACGTTAACGAGCACACACCCTGCCTCCACTGTCCGCCGCGGGGCTGAGCAAATATGCCCAGCATTATCTTATCTCTCTGGCCACACTGACTCCTTAGTTAATCTGCCGGCACCTACGGGCACAGCGGGGGTTCCTGCGGTTTCACCGGGTTCCGTCTCTCTGCTTCTGCGGGCTGGACCGGGAGGTCCGCTCCGGCCTCCTTAGACCCAGTTCTCCTGTGACTTCCCGTTCCCTCACTCTCCGGGCGGCGTATCCCAATGCCTCCGCCGGCCATCGGGGCCACAGGCGTGGAGGCAGGCGAGGCCTCCCTCCGGCTGGAGCTGGAGTGGCCCCCGGGCCCTCTCACTGAGCTTTCGGCTGGTTTTCTCCAGGCCGCTCTCCCTGCAGCACCACCCCACCCCTTCCCCCCGGCCTGGCGGCTATTGTACTATTAAGCACTAACCAGCTTAGAAAGTGCCCTGGCCCAGGCTGGGCCGGCCTGCCAAGTTTAATGACAGCGGGTTTTATGGCATTTAAAAATAGGGCCAAAGCAGTAAAAAGCAGGGGGGGGGGCGGGAAATGAACTCCTGAGGTTCTTTTCACCAGAAGGGCCTGCAGTGACCAGGGAGGAGCGGGGCGGGGGGAGAAACAGTGCCAGGGCCTGCCATCCCCGCAGCCTGGGCTTGACCTTGAGCAGAGGGTGCCCTGTCTTTGCCGGTGGGTCACCTTGGGGGACCTCGCAGGCCTCCAGGCGCTGCAGAAGGCCTAGCCGCTGTGGGGCAGGGGCTCAGGGGGCCTCCAGGGTACCCCCTCCCACGCCCTGGATTTCACAGTAAACCAAGCCTGGTCCCTCCCTGCTCTCAGGGCACCAGAGCTGAGGGCCTGTCAAACCCAGAGCCAGGCCCTGCCGCCCCCGCCTGCTGGGAGGGGGGTCGCTGTGTGGATGGGAACAAGGTTGAGGGGCGTGAGCCCACCCGGGAAGGCTGGGGGGTGGGCTGCCCCTCCCGCCCGCCGAAGTTCCCCTTCACTGGGGTGAGGGGCCTCCTGCCTGGGCTCCAGCTCCCATCAGGATGGGCCCTGAGGCCAGCCAGCCCGCTGGGCAGCCTGCAGCCCCCGCGCCCTCCCTCCCCCCTCCGGCCGCACTCACCGTCTTGTCGTTGGGCTGCTGCTGCTGCAGCTGCTTCATCATGATGCTGCGCTTCTTGTCCTTGCAGCGCTTGTTCTGGAACCAGACGCGGATCACGCGGGGGCTCAGGCCCGTCATCTCCACCAGCTGCTCCTTCATGAGCGCGTCGGGCCGCGGGTTGGCGGCGTAGCAGGTCCGCAGCGTGTGCAGCTGCTTCTCGTTCAGCACCGTCCGCACGCGGGTCGTCTTCTCCGGCTGCTTGTGCACGTGGGGCCGCAGCGCCGGCTGCCGCGCAGAGATGGGCTCGGCTGCGGGGCGGGGGGCGCCGTGAGCGCGGGCCGGGGCTGTGGGGGCCACCCAGAGCCCAGAGCCAGAGCCAGAGCCAGAGCCAGAGCAGGGCAGCCCGGGCAGAGCCAAACCTCACACCGTGTGGCCGGTGCCCGAGCCGCCTCTGTCCCCGCTCTGTCCCGCCGAGGGCGCGGAGGGGCCAGTCCCAGAGCCGGTCCCCTGCTCCCAGCCCAGGCGGCACCTTCGGCGTCCTCTCTCCTCCCCGCTGGCCTCCCCTAGCGCCCAGGGCGGCGCCTCCGGACGCTGGGGCTCAGGTCGCAGGGAAGCTGACACCGAACAGCCAGGGCGGCCAGAGACTGGCCAGCCAGGGTGGCTGCCACCGGGACAGTCCTGCCGGGAAGCTGGGACCTCCGGGCGGATGGCCACTCCTGCCAGGGGCTACGGAAATGGGGCATCTGTGCCGGCTCTGCAGTCCCTGGCCTTCCTCCTCCCCCTCCACCTGGGTGTTTGTGCAGGGGGCCGGGCCCAGCAAAGGAAAACTGAAACCCTGCTTCGGGGCCCAGATAAGGCGGCCAGCTGGGAGGTGCGGGCTCCTGACTCTGCCCAGCACCCGGCCCCGGTGCCCCCCACCGCGGAGCACAGGCAGCCCCAGCAGAAGCCGCCACCCTCTGGCTCCGGCCCCTGTGCCCCGCCAGCAGGTCGCACATCCCCTGCAGCCCCCGCCCAGCTGCCTGCCAGCAGAGGCTGCGCCCGCTTTCTCAGCCAGGGCTTAGAGGGAATCGATACTCTCACCCTGCGCCGGGCAGCTCTGCTCCTGGCCCGAAGGCAGGCTTGGAAACAGTGTCTGCCTTTGAGCCCCCTCCCAGCTCCCCCTCCCTCCCCCGCTCAGGCCGGGGACCTGGCTGCTTCTCCTCCGCTCCCCGGGAAAGGCTGCGGCCTGCAGGGCACAAATCCCACACCCCCAGGACCCCCGAGGGGTCAGGTCAACACCTAAGGGGTCAATTCCGTGTTAGCGCCGCCGGACCCCAGGACGGAATTCCCACCAAACCGCCGGGCCTGAGGAGGCAGGCCCCCTTTAGGGCAATTACTGCCATCGGCTTGCTGACAGTTTTAAATTACGGCCCCGCGCGGGCCTGCCCTGAGCCGGGACTCTCTCTCCGTGTGCATTTCCCCGCAAAGTATTTTTAAAAAGTACTTTTTAAAAATGCTTCGGAGTGGGGGGCAGAAAAGGGGTTTGAGAAGTGAAGTGACCTGGGGGGGGGACCCCAAACCTCGGTGGCTGGGTTGGAGGAGGCAGCGGGGCGGCCAGGCTCCGCCCCTTCACCAGGCGGCGGCGGGCGGGTACCTGGCGGGGCCGCGGCCCGGGTCCGGGAAGCCGCGGCGGGAGGCCCTGGCACACCGGGCCGCTGTGTCTGGGCGTGAGCCTGCCTGTGTGCACACGGCTGCATTCCGTGTGCCTGCCTGTGTGCACACGGCTGCATTCCGTGTGCCTGCCTGTGTGCACACGGCTGCATTCCGTGTGCCTGCCGGGACCGCGGGCCGCAGGCGGCGGCAGAGGGGACAATGGGCGGGGAGCCTGGCTGCCCCAGCCTCACCCCGGGGGTGCACGCAGCCTGCGCTCCGGCATCGGGTGCCTGCGGGCCGCCCGGCCCCGGGGTCCCTCTGCAGCCGCCGGGAGCGGGCAGGCGGCGGCCTAGCCGGGCGGCCCCGGGGAAAAGGGAGCGGGTGGCGGCCTGGCCGGGCGGCCGGGGAGGGCGCGGCGGCGGCCTGGCCGGGCGGCCGGGGAGGGCGCGGCGGCGGCGTACCTGCCATCTGCAGCGGGCGCGCGGGGTGCAGCGGGCTGAGCGGGGCGCCGGCGCCCAGGCCCGCCCGCTCCACCACGTCGTGGTCGGCGCGGCAGAAGAGCCCGTCCTCGCGCAGCGCGAACTCGTCGCCGGGGATGAGCTGGCGGCTGCAGGCCACGCAGCGGAAGCACTCGATGTGGTACACCTTGGCGCGGGCGCGCATCACGAAGTCGTTCTTGCTGAAGCCGATGCTGCACTTGGCGCACTTGATGCCGTACAACCTGGCGGGCCGGGCCGGGCAAGCACAGGGCAGCGGTCACTCAGGCGTCCGAGGCCCCCGCTACAGGCCCCGAGGCCCAGCGCCCCCCACGCCGGCATGGACAGGCCGCTGGGGTGGGGAGAACAGCGGCGATTCGGCCTCGCTTTCCCTCTCCGTTTCTTCCTTCCCCTCGGCCGCCTTCGGACCCCGCTCTGCCCCCATCGCCCAGCCCGCCCAGTCCGCGCCAGGACAACCGCCTCCAGCTCGGAAGCCTGGGCCGCGGCTCCAGCCGGCACCCCGCAGTGGGTGCCCCCGGCCACGGGTTCTAGGAACGTCTCACAGCCTGCAGCCCCGGCCCTCTGTCCCAGAGGAAAGGCCCGGCAGGCGGCTGCTGTGCACACACACTCCCCGGTGCACAAGCAGAAACAACAAAATGAAACCAAGGTTTGCAGGTCCGTCCCCGCAGGAGTCCGCGGATCCGCCCGGAAACAGAGGCTCCCCGCGGGCAACGACTTAACAAAGTTTCCCCGAAGCCTCCGGCCTTCCTCCCCGCAGCGGCCTCCCCTTCCCTCCCCGCGGCCTCCCCTTCCTCCCCGCGGCCTCCCATTCCCGCTGCCTCAGCCACAGCGCAGCGCCGGGCCCTGTGCAGGGGCCGAGGCCTCCGCCTCTGGTTCAGGCTGCGGGGGAGCCGGGACCTCTTCCCCGCGGCGGCTGGCCTTTCCTGGGGAGGTCCCTCTGGGCAGCCCGGGCCTGGCCCCCGGCCCTGCATCAGCGACCACAGACGCGGGCATTGCTACAGAGAGACCCCCAGAAAGGGGGAGGGGGCACCCACTGCCCAAGGGGAGGAAAGGAAAACTGAAGGGCCTTCTGTTCTGCTTGCACAGCTCCAGGATCTCCAGGGGAGGAAACACACACACACACACACACACACACACACACACACACACGCAAACACGCACTCATACATACACACATATGTATATGTATATATACATATATACACACATATATACACACGCGCGCGCATGCACATGCACACACTCGCATCCACACACACACATGCACACACAAACACAAGCCCAGGGGCTGAGAGAGAGTGGAGAGGGAGAGGTAAAAGCCATGGTTCCTTCCACAGCGTGTCTCCGGAGCAGGGCTTGCAGGCGGTGCGATAGCTCAGCACTATCTCCGGGCACAGATACCGCTCCGAGGTGCGAACTGAGCGCTCCCCCGCCAGAACCGCCGCTCACACACCGGTAAACAATGGAAAAGGGCTCATTTGTCAGAGGTTAGAAGGTAGCCTCCAAAGTTCGCCCCCCTCCGCCTCCTCCCTGTGAGAGCTCCCATTTCATAGGAGGAGGGCTTCACCTTGCCGGTGACCAAACAATTCGGAAAACCCCTCCCCCTCCGTGGGTTCCCCATTCCCCACTTCCTCCCATGCCCCCCCACCTTTGATGGGTCTATCAAGATTCTACTCACCGCTTCATGCTTTTAAAATCATTTAAAAAATCCTGGATTCTAAGCGAGCGGGAAAAATTTTAAGTGCATACTGAAAATTTTGACTAAACGGTAAATTAGTTCTCAGCTCCACAAACTGCAGGACTTACAAAAAGCTAATGTTTTTGTTCATAGCCGCTAGAGAATTTAAAATATATATACATATATAATTCTAATATTTTCAACTTAACAGCAAAGGTTATTATCTCTTCTGGTTGTTATTAAAACAATAACATTTTCTTTAGGCGTTCGACTGGCTTCCTAAGACAGGAAATGGAGTTTCTCACACACATATATAACCGTGTCTCGCACATATATACCCAGGTCAGAAGAAAGTATGCGATTAGCAAAGCATGAAGTTTAGACGCAGAATAAACTGAAAGAAAACTCAGGAAGTCCCTCATGTGGTTTTTAGTCTTGTCAGAATGGGCAATTGGCTCAGTTTATCAGTTACCAGATTTTAATGTGAGAAAGGAAGCTGTTCAATTATCTAAATATACCAATTGTTCGTAGACAGATGATGGGCAATTTGATCTGCTCTGTCTAATTCATCAGCTCAGATAAGATAAGAAAGAAAAGACATTCAGATGTTACCAAAGGGTTAATATTTAAAAAGATTAAATTTCCGACCTTTTTGCAGGAAATATTTGGGTTGGTTTTTAGATTTTCAAGGTAGAAACTCTCAGCCTAAAGGTGAAAGGCTATTTGCTGTTTCAAAATGCATGTGTAGGTCAAACTTTTATTTTGCCCATTACAGACATCTCCCAAGAATTTGCAAGTTACCAATAAAACCCTGAACTGAAACAGCGAAGAAAAATACTGCACAAGAGAATAAAAATCAACCTTTTTAAAATTTAGAAAACCCCGATTTAGCCCTTTATGCATTTTTTGTTTGTTTTGAAAGGAGGAGGGTGAGAAAGGGAAATATTTGAGCACCATAAATTCCAAGAGCAATTTAGCAAGCTTCAGTAACACACAACTTATGAAAACCACTGTCCAATTTTTCGGGGGAGTTTTCTGATAAAAAGTAAGATGAACAGCTTAGCTTCATGTATGCAATACACGTTCTGGGTAACTTTGGCACGCCAGACCCCATGAAGGCAAACTACGAAAACAGGCAAAATTCCCCCCAGATAATAAATAATAAGGCGTGGGGAGAGAGACCAGGGGACATCTCACACAATGGAGGAAGCGGAACGGACAGGGCATACCTGATATAATCCCTCTTACAGTAGGTTTTCCCATCTCTCACAAAGCACGTACAGCTCTCGTCCAAATACTGATTGCACTCTGCGCATTTCAAGCACGCCGCATGCCATTCCAAATCCGGAGAGACCCGCAGAATGTACTGATCGTGAATCTGATTGCCGCAGCCGACGCACAGGGAAATCAGGCGTTTTTCTGAAATGAAAATAAATACGTGATTGACTAACCGTTTACTTCCTACGGAGATAAACACACTTTTAGGATCGCTCTCTGCGCGATTCCCTTCTCCCGCCCCTCTTCCTTTCTTTCCTTTCTCTTTAAAGAGCGCTGCGCTTCGGAACGGTAATTGAAGCGTGTGCCACCCAAACCCTGACTCACTTCTCCAAAGGAGGTGGAATATTTGCAAAATGCAGATTGGACTAGTCCACGTTTGTGAGCCCAGCACACAATCAAACCCGTTCATTGTGTATTTCTTTCTCCATTCCCTCCCCCTCTCCTCCCTCTTTGCCATAACCGCCGCCGTGCACGGTTGTGCAGAAGTCAAGCCAAAGAAAAGGTTTGGGCTGGAAGCGTCCGGGCGGAGAGCGCAGGGAGCCTGTGTGCCCGCAGCAGCGCTCCCGCACGGTCCGGGGCTGGGTGTTGTCGGCCGGAGCGCACACATCCGTGCGGGTGTCACTCGTTCCCTTTGGCAAGTCCAAGGCTGCTGCCCTCGCCGCGCACCGGGCGTGCGGCGGCAGACCTTTGCCACAGAATAACCTTCTCTTGCAACAGCATAACCTTATCTTTGCAACAGAAGAACCTTTTCTCTTTGCAACAGAAGAACCTAGGAGAGCTCAGGGGCCCCGGGAGGAAGGCTAGGGCTTCGGAGCGCGCCCGGGCGAGCTCACACCCGAGGTCTGATCCCTTTCCTCCCCCGGAGATCAGAACCGACAGCAAAGCCTGCAGGCGCGGCGGGGAGCCAAAGCCGCCGGCCCCTCCGTGGTCTCTCCGCGGAGCCCCCGGGCGCCGTGCCGGCCGGAGCGCCCCCCGCACGCCCAGCCCGGCACGCCGAGCCCCGCGCTGCAAGAGCCGCTTACTTTTCGGTGGGTCGCCCATGTCTCCCATCGCGGACAGAGGGAGGAGTGTCCACAGTGAAATGGTGGTGGCACGGCGGGTGCGCAGCCCCCGGGAGGATGCTGGCGCGGCGGGCGAGGGGGCACCGCGGCCCGGGGTGCCCGGGGGCTGCCCGGCCCCGCGCCCTCGCCGCTCGGATCGGGGATGGAATCGGAGGCGGCGCCGGGAGCGGGCGGAGCGGAGGCGCGGCGGCGGCGGGACTCGGCGCGGCCGGGCACTGGCTTCCTTATCTCTTACTCAAACTTCTCTGCGGCCCGGCCCCTCGCCATTGGGTGACGCAGCGCGCGGGGACGTCAGGCGAGCGGCGCGCCCATTGGCTGCGGGGCGCGCGGCGCGGCGGCTCTGATTATCATATTTCAGCCCCGCGCGGCCGGCGCCACTGCCCGCGCCCGCCCGCCGACCGCACCGGGCTGGGCTCCCCGCACCGGGCCGGGCTGGGCTCCGGGCCGGGCTGGGCTCCCGCTGGGCTCCGGGCCGGGCCGGGCTCCGGGGCCGGGCTGGACTCCGGGGTCGGGCTGGGCTCCCCGCACCGGGCCGGGCTGGGCTCCGGGGCCGGGCCGGGCTCCGGGGCCGGGCTGGACTCCGGGGTCGGGCTGGGCTCCCCGCACCGGGCCGGGCTGGGCTCCCCGCGCCGGGCCGGGCTGGGCTCCGGGGCCGGGCTGGGCTCCGGGGCCGGGCTGGGCTCCCCGCGCCGGGCCGGGCTGGGCTCCGGGGCCGGGCTGGGCTCCCCGCGCCGGGCCGGGCTGGGCTCCGGGGCCGGGCCGGGCTCCCCGGCCGCCGCTCACCCCCGCCGATCGGGCCCGGCCGCCGCGCCGCCTCTCCCCTCCTCCCGCCGCCCGCCGCGCCGCTCCTCCGCCCAGCGCTCCGGGTGCCCGCCGGCCGCGCCGCGCGCCGGGCCCACTTTCTGCGGCCGCGGGCGGGTCTCCCCGAGGATGCGGTCCTCCCCGCCCCGCACCCCGGGTTCTAGCACACGGGCCGCTGGAGCGGCCGTTCGGCTCGGCCCGGTCTCTGGCGCCGGGGCGCACAGCCTGGCCGCCGGCCGCCCGGGAGGGTGAGTTCCCCGCTGGGCCCGCTGGGAGCGGCCTCCCCGGGGCAGGAGAAGCGGGGGCGGGGCGAACGCACACCCACAGGAACTGTTCGGACCCCGTTCCCTCCGACCCCAGATCCAGAGACGCGGGGTGCGGAAGGAGCGGGGCTCCGGGCCCAGCGGGAGCCGGCGGGAGGCGGCAGGTAGAGCCGGTGGCTCCGCCAGCCGCCCTCTCCCCGCGGCCCGCTCTGCCAGTTCCCTCCGGGATTAGGGGCGGGCACGGCCCCCCACCAAAGGTCCTCCCAGTGGTTTGGGGTTTGCGGAGAGGCTCCGTCCCGCCCCGTGGCTCTCCCCGCGGGTCTCCGGCCTTTGTCTGGGAGGGACCGGGTACAATTAGCCGGTGCGTTTCGGTGATTATAAAGACAAATTTCCGCGTCTCTCTGGAGGCCTCTGAGGTGCATTAGTCCGAGGGCGTGGGCAGGGAGGGGTCTGAGATAACGCAGTGCGGTGGGATTTCTCCGAACCCGCGGCGTGTGCTTCAGATCGGTTTCTCTCTGGAAACACCCTGGAGAGGCAGGGGTGCCGCTGCAGCTCGCCGGTCCCCTTTCCAGCAAATCTCACCATGTTCCTGGCATCTTTCCGTCTGTCTCCCTAAGACAAAGTCTAGGGGGGGTGTCCCCGAGGAACCCCCACACTTCCCCTGAGCTTCTAGAGTGATTGCTTATCTAAGGCGGCGGCCAGGTTATGAGAAGGCCCACAGCTCGGGCCGCGGAGGAATGGGGGTAATTTGGTGTCTTGTTGCCTGGAACCAGGCCGGCGGGTAGGAAACTCCCTCCTTTGTATCTTTCCCCAGATCTCACCCGGGATGAGAGCGGGGAGCCGCCAGCCTGGGGCTTGGTTTTGCCTGAACTCAGAAGCCAGGATGCTTGAGTGAGTGTCCCCGTCTCACGGAGGCTCTCTCCAGAACACACGTTTGTGGTGTTTTCTTCTCTCTCACTGGAGCTCGACCCTTTTATTTTATTAAGTTCTGTCCGTGTGTGTGTGTGTGTGTGTGTGTGTGTGTGTGTGTGTGTTTGAGAGAGAGAGAGAGAGAGAGAGAGAGAGAGAGAGAGAGAGAGAGAGAGAGAGAGAGAAATCGAAAGTGGGATGCACACACTGGTTGATCACTTTACCAGGTTTTGGTGTGTGGTTTTGGTGATTGTTTCTAGTCTCTGCTATTGCACGCACGGGGCCTTTGTCAGCTGCTTTTGCAAAACCGATGCTGGCTTCCCAGTATACGAGCATGTTTCCTGGGGCAGATGAACCAAGTTGGCTCCAGTAAAATAAAAGAGATGCCAGTGTAACACCAGAAAGTAAACAGGATTTTAGCCGATCATATGCCATCCTGCCACTTGTATGCCATGGAATCAAACCGTGGGAGCTGCCAGAAGCTTGAGGATTCATATTGGAAATCCACAAAGCGCCCACCAGCTATTGTACACGCTCCCTGTGGCATTGTAACCCCTAAACGAATGAGCTGCTCCAAAGAACAGTGTGCTGATGGCGATAGCAGTTCCAGACAGAAGCTGGCGTGCCCCTGGAGAGAACCCGTTACTGATGGGCAGTGGCACACTAACGGGGAGCACAGTGCGTTTTGTTTGCGCCAGCCCGCTGGTGCTGTAAACAAGAATCGGCTAACCAGTCCCTAGGCCCGTGGACCGAGGCTGAAGCGGACACTGCCCCGTGTCCTAGGGGCAATGTGAGGGAGCCGGTGATCACTGTTTCGCTCTGGAGTGGTGTCTGTTGCTAACACAGTTGGTATCAGAATCCCAGTTTGGATACCGGTATTAACTGTTTCCTTTCACCTGGAAGTTCCAGTAGACTCTCAGGTTATTCCCATTTCCTTCGCTGATGTGTGCATTGAATGCATTCCATGTATCTGTTAAAAATTGTAATACATTTGTAAGATATTTATAGAATATATCAAATAGAGTGATTAGCAGTATTTCCCCCAGTATTCGATCACAGGAGCGACCTCTTGTGTTCAAAGGGAGGATTAGACCCTCCCTTGTCAAAAACAGGGACTCGCTTTGACCTTTGAATATTCCCTGGGTTCAGGAATACATCTTTAAAGCAGCAGAGGTGCGGGTGCCCCGTGGGAGGTCTCCGCTGAGGAGAGGGAAGAAGAATATGAGTCGTTGTGAAGTACAGATCCTGTCACTCCAGGCCTCCCAGGCACACTGGACAGTGTATTTGCGGAGCTAAGATTTTTCAGAACTTCCTCTTGGTTCTGTGGCATCCGCCCACATGCACCTTCCAAAATGCAGCCAATACACCTAGAGCTTGTAGGCCTGCGATTGTGTGGTGTGTGTGTGTGTGTGTGTGTGTGTGTGTGTTGTTGCTGCTGCTGTTGCTTTCTTTCTCTGCTTTATTTCACATCGAAAAATCCCACATCAAACTTAACGCTAGATACAAGTCCCTGGACAAATAACATGTTCTCGAGATAACTTTTCAAAAAACCTGCATAGGTGTTGGTTGCCACTGAAAAGGAGCGTTCCACTGGCAGGGTTTATTTCTCCCCGCACAGCCCCTGGCTGGTAGGGGCGGGTTTTAGGCTGGTTCTTTGTGGAACGGGCACAGTGCCGGACCGGGCTTTCCCCACCTCCGTTCACGGAGCGGGCAGAGGGGGCTTCGCCGCTGCCCCTGGTCTGGGGGCCGGTTTGGGCCCTCCCCCGGGCTGTGATGTTGGTGCAGCCGCAGGGGAATCGCCCTGAAAGGGTAGACCCCATTGGGAGGCCAGCTCCCATGAGGAAGGTGTTCCGATCGGCACTTACATACCTGGAGGATTATATTTTCTAAGAGCCGCAGCAGATAATTTGGGGCTGGGGGGACGGTGTCAGAATGAAATGAACACATTTTATTCACCCCGGGAAGCAGACGTGGGGCGTCTCTCTCCGTTCTCCGTATTTTCACGTTTTCTGTGTAGTCCATCGTGCAGATCGAGCAACTCCATAAGCACCCTGTCTTCAGTGGGGCCGAGAGGCAGACAGTTTTCTGCGTTAAAGGGAGTCGCCGTTAACCATTCACACTCCGCACCCCACTCGGGTGCTCAGGGCTCATCGCCTCTCCCGCTCTGCTCTGCTCTGCGGGGAGGAATGGAGGAAACCCGGCTCCCCTGCAGAGAACAGAAGGACCTTCTTCTACCTTAGGTCTGGAAGGGCTCTCCCTTCGCCAGCCCTGGCCCTTGCTCTTTCTCCCTCCTCGTTATTTAAGATAAGAGCACCGTGGTGGTGATAAAGGCAGTTAACAAGTCCACAGCGGCGGCTGCGACTCTCACTGTTCGGCCCGGGCCTCCCGCGGCGCCTGGCTTTGCTGTGTCCGTGGCTTTGTTCCCCTCACAGCCTCCGCTCCGCTCCGCTCCGCTCCCGGATGGGGACCGGCCGGAGGTCAGGGCTCCCCCAGCCGCCCACCCGCCCGTCCCGTCCCGTCCCGTCCCGTCCCCTCCCGTCCCGTCCCGTCCCCTCCCGTCCCGCCGGAGCCCGAGGCCGCGTCCGCAGACCGCGTGGGCAGAGCTTTGCCTACACTCTCTCTCAAACGCACACACTCTCATACACACACACACACTCACACACTCAAACACACACACACTCACACATATACACTCACACACACAGTCACACACACTCACACACACTCACACATACACACACACACACAGTCACACACAGTCACACACAGACACACTCACACACACACTCACACACACACAGTCACACACACACACACACACTCATACATATACACACACACACACTCACACACAGTCACACACACTCACACACACACACTCACACATATACACTCACAGTCACACACACTCACACACACTCACACATACACACACACACAGTCACACACAGTCACACACACACACACACAGTCACACACACACACTCATACATATACACACACACACAGTCACAGACACACTCACACTCACACACACACACACACCCTGTAAAATGGGGCTCTGGGAGCATTTATTCCCACTCCCCGCGAGCGGCTGGCAGTGTCATGGGGAATCTTTTTCTCTCTAAGTTTTTGGTTTTGTTCTGTTTTCCTGTTGCGGCCTCGGCGGGCGGCAGGCGCAGGCACAGCCCCCGCACACTGGGCGCCACGCACATGATGGGTCCTCCTGCGCCCGGAGTCCGAGGCGAACCAGCCGCCTCGCCGGGCCCGGCCGTGGGGTCCCCGCTCCCCATCAGCCTGGCCCCGCGGGCGCCGCCCCGCTCCCTGAGCTGCCGGCGTTTGGCGTTTGCAGGGAGCGGGGCAGGCGTTTGCGGGGAGCGGGG